TGCACTGGCTCCTCTGGCTGCACTGGATCCTGTGGCACATTGCAACTCTCTAAAATCTGTATGTCAGATACTTTCGACAACCCACAGGTTGCGCACGCTCTTCTCAACACCAGACCCAATTTCCGACCGCCCCCAACTCCCAACGCTTGCCTCTGGCGTAACGATCGGCTCCTCTGGAGCCTGAATTCGTGTCCGCGTGTTGGCAGGATAAACGATTGACCGCCGCCACTTCACAACTACCCATGCATCGCCTTTTCTTTCTCTGCTCGATCAAAGGAGCTCATAAGCCACATTCATGTCGCAAATGTCTGCCAACACAGAAATAACCTTGCTCCACCAGCAATCAAGGACATGTGGAAGGGTGTATGTGTGTGTGTGTGTCTCCGTGTGTGTCTGCCCTGCCAACATTCAAGGAGCTGCATTCTTTGCTTGGGCAATGACGGGCAGCTCAGTGGTATGACTTCACGCGCTGCGGTAGAGCAGTGCCAATCCAGCAAAACAGCGCCCGGCGTGATGTTGAGGTTCAACGCTCAAATGTGCAGCACAACTTGTCTGTGCGCGCAGTTTCGCGCATCCTGCACTGTCTCACATGGTTTATGCAGGGTTTACCTTTTGTGTTGATCTGTGCAGCTATCTTTGTGCATGATATGCGCTATGCGAAAGCTATCCCCTGTGTGTGTTGAGCGCATCGCAAAGAGAACCTTTGCGCACTTTCACGCTTGCCGCTTTCGAGCGGGCCGCGAAGTTTGTGTACATCAAAGCTGCCATGTTCGAGCTGGAGCCGCAAGGGCTCATTTCGCAAACTGTTGTGGCAGAACTGCGATCCAGACAAAGCTGCGATGCTGTTCTTCAAGTCTCATTTTCGCACTCAATCTGCGTAAAGTGTACTTTGAACACACGAGATTTGGCACTTGAACTAGGAAGTGCCAAAATTTTGACCTAAGCCATGCGCGCGGAAGCGAAGAAGCGAAAAGGGCCACTTCCGCTCCGAGAGCGGAAAGGCAGAAAGCTGCGAAGCGGTCGGTCCCAACCCCGGCGCGAAAGAGAAAGCCTAAAGCCTAAACCAAAACCCTGACCAACAACAACGGTGGGTTTAGGGGTGACGGCAACCCTCGGGGGGCTGTGGGCAATTTTAGATGCCCCTCTCTTTCCAACTTCTACAAGTATCTCGATGCCAAGTTTCTTAGCAGGTTCTTTATGCAAATTTATTGATGCAGTTTCTCGATGCAAGCTCCGTACATAAGTTTTGTGTTGCGTAGGTTTCTTGATGCAAGTTATCCTTGCAAGCTCTCCGTGCAAGCTCTCTCCGTCCAAGCTCTCTGCGCAAACCAGTGCAAGAATTCCAGCGAACAAACTCATTGCAGTACTTTCAGGAATAGAAGAAAGTCCCATGATGAAGAATGGAAGATTGCATGCCGAAACCGACTGCCACGTGCACTCCGATTCACTGTTTCAAGTTTCGAGCTGCTTTGATGCAATTGCCCCACGGCGCAACGATCTGGTTCTAGTCTTGAGTGCCCCGCAGGAGGCGGCATTGGCTCATCCTTTGCATGCTCAAATTTTAGTGCATGCAAGCTCTGACATGTGAGTCATAGTCAAAACATGATATTAAAATGCTCTACCCGAGACTCTACCCAGAACAATGTCATGTAGAGAATTGAAAGGCAAATTCCCTCACCCATGTATGGCTGGGATTGCCCCTTATTAATACCCTCCAGGTACCCGGGTTTTGATCGTGGCTCATGTGTGTTCCCTGCCTCCCTTGGATCCGCCGGCGGCTCCACTGGCTGCGCCGGCTCCTCCTGCACTGGCTCCTCTGGCTGCACTGGATCCTCTGGCGCATTGCAACTCTCTAAAATCTGTACGTCAGATACTTTCGACAACCCACAGGTTGCGCACGCTCTTCTCAAACACTAAGCCCAATTTCCGACCGTCCCCAACTCCCAACGCTTGCCTCTGGCGTAACGATCGGCTCCTCTGGAGCCTGAATGCGTGTTTGCGTGTTGGCAGAAAAAGCGATTGTGGCCAGCAAACCATTGACCGCCGCCACGCGAGTCACAACTACCCATGCACCACATGCGCTTTATTTGCTCGATCAAAGGAGCTCATAAGCCACATTCATGTCTGCATGTCTGCCAACACAACACCAACCTTGCTCCACCAACATACAAGGACATGTGAAAGGGTGTGTCTGCATGTGTGTGTGTGTGTGTGTGGGAGTGTGTGTGCAACGACGAGTAGCTCAGTGCCATACATTCAAGAGCTGCAAAGAACAGTGCCAATCCCGCAAAACTGCGCTCGGCGTGATGTTGAGCTTCAACACTCAAATGTTCGGAATCGTCATAAATCCAAGCAGAACGCTCGTGCATGTACCTTCCGCATCCTTAAAACTCCAATCTGTCGCGAGCAAGTATCCGCTCATTGTCTGCACAACTTGTCTGTGTGCGCTGTTTCATGCATCTTGTACTGTCTAACATGGATTATGTAGGATTTACTCTTCATGTTGATCTGTGTAATTCTCTGTCTGCATCCTATGCGCAAGCTATCCCATGTGTGCGTATTGAGCACATCATAAAAATAAATTTGCGCACTTTCACACTTGAAGTTGTCGTTTTTCGAGCCGGAGCCGCGAAGTGAACTTCGCAAAGTATGCTTGTAATTTTGCCTGCCAGGCCCCACCCCCCTCCCTACCTCTGGAGCAACGATCGGCTCCTCTGGAGCCTGCATGCGTGTCCGCGTGTTGGCAGGAAAAGCGATTGTGACCAGACCAGTGTCAGCCGCCACGCGAGTCACAACTACCACAGCTCAAAAGCTAGCCCACATTCATGCCCACACATGTCTCAAGTAGACTGGCACTTCACTGCCTCCGCTGGATCTGCAGGCTCCGCTGGATCTGCAGGCTCCACTGGCTCCACCGGCTCCAATGGCTCCACTGGCTCTTCTGGCTCCTCTGGCTGCACTGGCTGGCACATCGCAAGTTCACAACTAGAACTCGGCATAACCATCTGCCCCATGTCTTCATTGCTCCCAACAACATCCTTTCCGCACTCTTTTTATCCGGCAGTGCAACCAAAAAAAACACTCCTCCGGCATGTCTCGGTCGGCTTTCTGGATGGCACTTGCGATGGCCTCGGACCCCCGAGGCTTTTGAGAAGCCGCGCGTTCAGCCAAGGCTGCCACGGCTTGGGTTGCCACCAAAGTGGAGCCTTCAGACTCCTGCAAGGTCTCTGACGTCCGGGCTTTCACTGCAAGCCGTGGAGAGAGAATAGAGAGAGAAAAAGAGAAAAGAGGGGCG